TCTCTGTAACCTCCTCCAGCCCCTACACCCCTCCCTATCTCTGTAACTGCCTCCAGCCCCGACACCTCTGCCTATCTCAGAAACCTCCACCAGCCCCTACACCCCTCCCTATCTCAGAAACCTCCTCCAGCCCCTACACCCCTCCCTATCTCAGAAACCTCCTTCAGCCCCTTTACCCTCTCTGTGTGCCCCCTGTCTGCTGCTATTTCCATGGCTCCCCCTGTAAGTGGATGTGCCTCCCTCTGCCTGCCTCCTTGGTGCCAGACTTCCTTTGCTAAACCTGTCCACTTGCGCTACCATGGCCCTCCTGCTATTCAATGTTCCTTGCGACCGGCTGCTTTCCATCCTCCCTGACTCTCAATCTTGGGAGTGACTACAAGGGAGGGCAAGCCAGTGATGGGGGTTTGGAAATGGTGGTTGAGTGAGTGAAGCAGCTTAGGGAGAGGGGAGAGGACGGGAGTCTTACCGAGGTAATGGAGCAGTTTCTGTGCCCGGTTCTGTACTGGTCTCGTGAGGATGAGGTCAGGATTCTCGTCGATGAACTGAGTGTCGACAGTGCCGTACAGAAATTGGTCGTTGCTGAGCACGTTCTGCAGGAACGGGATATTCGTCTGAAAGAAAGACAGACCACGAGAAATTTATCTGGGACAGTGTGCCACAGGTAGAGCCACAAACACAGCAAGAGAGCAGCTGGTCCTTTGGCCCCTCTGCCCTACCATACTAGCACATGGCCAATCAACACAATTATCCAGCACTATCCTCATACCCCTTCATATCATTAGTTTCTAGAAATCTACTGACAATTGATTGCTGTCTCTCTTTCTTACTCAATTGCTGAACGTTCCCATTCCTCAGATGTAGAGAACTCCAAAGATTTACCCTCTCAATTGAAGACATTTCACCTTATCTCAATCCCAAATGGCATGTCTCTTATACCCAGATTTTGTTTTTAATTCATTCATGGAATGTGGGGATTGCTTGGCTGGGCTGGCATTCATTGCCTGGGCAAGATGGAGGACCTCCTCACCGCTCTGCCCTGGTCCTGCCCATAAATGTGGTCCCAGGAGGAGGGTCCTGAAGGGGGTAGGGGCATGGGGCTTCAGTTACCGCCATGCTATGTCCCTGGGGAAGGAGTCACATACTGCCCAGAAGCCTTCCGCCAACCAGGGGCACCGTTATGACATTTCACATTCCCCGTGTGAGATTTCTTCGAAGATTGTTACAGCGCTGTCTGGGGGAGCGATTGGTCCTTTTGGTCTAATTGTTTCGTTTTAGATCTTTCAAAACTGTCTGAGGAGGAGAGCCTGGGGCAGAGGGTACTTGTGGCGCAGTGGTAATGGCATCACCCCTGAGCCAGGAGGCCCGGTACCTGCTCCCGAGACACGTAGTAACGTCCCTGAATAACTTGACGGGGCAATACCAATGAAGAGAACCAGGTGGTACATGAGTAGTTCATTCAAGGGATGTGGGCATCTCTGGCCAGGCTAACATTTATTGCCCATTCCTAATTAGGCAATTAGGTATCAACTACATTACTACATGTCTGGCGTCACATGTAGGCCCAAGCAGGTAAGGATGGCAGTTTCCTTCCCTCAAGGTCATTAGTGAACCAGAGGGGTTTTTCTGACAATTGACAGTGGCTATCACTAGACTCTTAATTCCAGATTTTTTATTGGATTCAAATTCCACTATCTGCCGTGGTGGGATTTGAACCCAGAACATTATCCAAGTCTCTGGATTAACAGTCCAGATATAATACTACGAGGCCATTGCCTCCCCCTAAGAATATACCCACTAAGAAGGTAAAAAGATTCATGTTGTGTCCTGTATGTCACCCTCTTTTGAAGCTATTTCATTCAGAACTGGGGTGAATTCTGCCACACTACTGGCAGCATGGTGGCTCAGTGGTTAGCACCGCTGCCTCACAGTGCCAGGGACCTGGGTTCGATTCCACCCTCGGGTGACTGTCTGTGTGGAGTTTGCATATTCTCCCCGTGTCTGTGTGGGTTTCCTCCGGTTTCCTCCCACAGTCCGAAGAAGTGCAGGTTAGGGTGGATTGGCCATGCTAAATTGTCCCATCGTGTCCAGGGATGTGCAGGTTAGGGTGGACTGGCCGTGCTAAATTGCCCATAGTGTTCAGGGTTGTGTAGATTAGGTGGGTTATAGGGGGTTGGGTCTGGGTGGGATGCTCTGAGAGTCGGTGTGGACTTGTTGGGCCGAAGGGCCTGTTTCCACACTGTAGGGGATTCTATGACATTCTACTACTTACAAGCCCTGGCGCTTGGACTATAAAGACCCAGAAACGGAGTTCTCACGCTACAGTCACGTGTGAAAGGTCACTAGTATTCCTGAGCCTGTCAGCTAAATCAGACGGACGTGGTGCATTGCTCGTGTGGTTTCTGATGGTGAGACAGTATTAAAATAGAATGACCTTCTGCTGGGCACTGGCATTAAAATTAAAACACATTTTCAACTATGCCCCGTCACTGAAGGCAGAGAATTGCTGCAGGCAGAAAAATATCTTTTTTCACTTATTCCTGGAATCACAACACTGCCCTCCTCCGTCCCTCCCCCCCAGAGCCTTCTGAAAGAATAAAATATTATTTCAACTGCTGGCAGCTCTGACCGCTTCCTGAATATACCTGGTGATATTCCATCTTTCTGAAACTGCAGGATTTGGAAATATTTTAATTCCTGTCTCCTCCTCTGTCTCACCACCTCAGATGAGAGGAGATGCCACAGCAGATATACAATATACAACTATAATACTCAGATTTACAATTTGCAGATACATTATATGCAGATATATGATAAACAGATATATCATAAGCAGATACATAATTCATAGATATATGATACACTGATGTATATTTCGCAGATTTTTAAAACATTGATATATGATATGCAGTTCACAGAAATATGATGCGTAGATGTATGATGGGCAGTTATAGAATTCACAGACATATAATTCACAGATATTTGATATGCAGATATATGATTCACAGATATATAATTTGCATATATGTAATACACAGATATATGATATGTAGATATATAATTTACAAATATATGATATAGGGCAGCATGGTGGCTCAGTGATTAGCACAGCTGCCTCACGGTGCCAGGGTCCTGGGTTCAATTCCAGTGCTAAATTCCCCATAGTGTCCAGGGATGTGCAGGCTAGTTGGATTAGCCATGGGAAATACAGGGTTACAGGGATAGGGTGTAGGTCTGTGTGCGATGCTCTTAGGAGGGTCGGTGTGGACTTGATAGGCTGAATGGCCTGCTTTCACAGTGTAGGGATACTATGAGATAGATCCTGGATCAATTCGGAATGGGTAACGATGTGAACCTGGATCAATTCGGAATGGGTAACGGTGAGAACCTGGATCAATCTGGAATGGGTAACGACGTGAACCTGGATCAATCTGGAATGGGTAACGGTGAGAACCTGGATCAATCTGGAATGGGTAATGATGAGAACCTGGATCAATCTGGAATGGGTAACGGTGAGAACCTGGATCAGCCTGGAATGGGTAACGGTGAGAACCTGGATCAATCTGGAATGGGTAATGATGAGAACCTGGATCAATCTGGAATGGGTAACGGTGAGAATCTGGATCAATCTGGAATTGGTAACGATGAGAACCTGGATCAGCCTGGAATGGGTAACGGTGAGAACCTGGATCAATCTGGAATGGGTAACGGTGAGAACCCGGATCAATCTGGAATGGGTAACGGTGAGAACCCAGATCAGTCTGGAATGGGTAACGGTCAGAACCCGGATCAGTCTGGAATGGGTAACGGTGAGAACCTGGATCAGTCTGGAATGGGTAACGATGAGAACCTGGATCAGTCTGGAATGGGTAACGATGAGAACTTGGATCAATCTGGAATGGGTAACGGTGAGAACCTGGATCAATCTGGAATGGGTAACGATGAGAATCTGGATCAAATGAACAGTCGCATGGCAAAATGTGGGTTAATTTGGGAGAGACCGTGTGGATTTATTGAACAAAACCTGTGTCTAACGAATTTGCTGGAGTTTTTCTGAAGAGGTAACAGAGAGGGTTGATGAGGATAACGCTACTGATGTGGCGTCCATGGACCTCCAGAAGGCTTTCGATGTAGTGCCACATGACAGACTGGTGAGAAAGGTTATAAATCATGGAATAAAAGGGATGGTAGGAAATTGGATCCTGAATGATCTCAGTGATAGAAAACAGACAGTCACTCTCAATGGATAATTTGGATGGTTTGTAGTGGAATACAACAGGGTTATAGGGA